CAGTGACTATCATAACAGACACAAATATTGTGTAGTCTGAACCCAGCATTATGAAAAATAATTATAATAGTAATAATTGATCCCTCATTTGTGCTGGAGGTTGTGACAGACAGATTCATAATACAATTTTTGACAATTTTGCATTTCCTTGTTATCGATTGGCCAATTCTTGGAAGTGTGTCGGTTCCATCAGTGCATGATGCACATTTTCTGTTTTCAGATAATTTTCTCTACATTTTGGCATCATCCCCCTCATTTATCATAGTTTTTGAACATTATTTACATCAGTTTGTAATTTTTATTTTTCCATTTACGCAATTTTGTTGTGTGGTTATTTCAATTTGAATCGTTAGAAGAGAAAGTTTGAGTGTGGAATATGTTTATTAGAGAGCTAAGGGTGAAAGGTCAAAAGTTAGGGTCAGTGACTGGCTTTTCTTCAGAGTGCATGGAAGAACACGGTTGTTGACATGTAAGAAAAATAAAAAATACAGTGTTCCTGACAAACATCTTTTCGGGCTGTGAGTGTCCTTCCTGTCTGCTATTGGATGTGATTTATTTGAATTTCATTGGCTGAACCGTGCAGAACAAAACTCACCTCATTAAAGCTTATGTCGTGGTTGTTGTTTTTTTTCCTTCGGCTGTTGGGCTGGGAATCATCCAGACGTTGGTATCAAACGGATAGTTAAGACCAAAGCAGATGTAATGTGCACAGGTTTTCAGGTGGAAAAACAAGAACTAATGTGAGCCATTTCACATTTATCCAACATACAGTGGTGATATCCAACAGTCAATCCCTCGAGCTGAAACACTGCTGCAGAAAAGCCACCAGGATGTTCATGTTGAACTGTAAACATGTCATTGACTCGCCATCAAATATTTACCATATTCTATTGTGGACTCGTGAGGCCGGATGCGTCTGAAACAGATGGATTGTGCACTTGAAATGCACTGGTCCAGAAATATTCCTTCTGATTGACATGTGTACTTATAGAGTCACAGGGAAATCATTTAGCTCTGCTGGTCTGAAGAGAAAGAAAGAAGATGCTGCTTCATCGGTTCCTCACTCTCCGTATCTCTGCCATAGCTGTGCCAAACCAACAGAACAAAACTCATTCATCATACTATATACAGCCTTGTTATATACTCTATGTTATAATATGTGAGAAGCCTCTTGCTTACAGCTTCAGTGAATTCAAACCCAGGTACTCTAGAGGAATGTCAAAGCCAGCGCTGTCTGAATTCCTCAGAGGTTTGTCTGTAGATAAGGAGGTTGTGATTAATAAAGCTTCTCGTGGGATACTTCAGGTTATTTTCAGGCCATGGGTAAAAAGTTTGATCCATTTGGTTTATTAAACTCAAAATTGACCCCATTTACTAACTAGACCTCACTTGAAATTGATTAATGCTAGCCCATGCTTGCAAAACCAAATAAAGGAATGACTTACTGTACAATAAGCTATTGTTTTAGGCTACTGTGGCCTTTCGTCAGTAGCGTAAAAACATCCTGGGCTGCGTTTCCCAAAAGCATCGTAAGCCTAAGTAGGTCGTAGAACAATTGCCACCAATCCTCTCTACGATCAAATTAGCTTCTGTTTTATTCAGAAATACATCACAATCACGACATATAGTAGATAATGACTCTTTCAAACACCAACTTTGCACAAATGGTTGTATTTTTTTCTTGACAAGATGATTTCCCCTCTATAAACTTGTCTATTAAAGTAACACTTGCTGATGTGATTTGTGAAGTGATTTGGAGGGTTTTGTTTTGATTGTCATCGTTTGGCATTAATTATATCCAGGTGCGCCTCATAACTCCTCGTGACATGTTCATACTCCCGTTTCCTCTGAGAGACATTTATACCATCAGCATTCACAGACCAATTAACGTTTTCACAATGACCCTTTGACCTCTCTGTCCCACTGTCAGCCAAACACAAACCAGATTAAGGGCCTTTTAATGTCCTCAAGGCACTTTTAGTTAAAACATCAGTAGACAGTAAAGCACATCTGTTGATGGTTGTCTGGGCAAATCCAATTGAATATCTAACAATCTGAAAATCAATCCCAGATAATGGATAACACCAGCGGAACTGAGGTGCAATTTTGTCTGAAATACATAATGAGAACATAATTGACTTACAAAAACAAAGCAAATCAGTTATTACATGTTCATCCAGGCATTTCAATAACTCACACAATCAGAAATTCTGCATGAGGGCAAAAGATTTCCCCACTGTCAATTGAGGTTTCAGGCAGACAGAAGAAGGCAGATTAATACATTTCCAACACAAAGTTTAATGACAACTTAAATAGCAAACACTAACGAGGATAATTAATAGAACACAGCTCAAAACCAATGAACTAATTCTGACGGTAACTAAGGAGACAGACGAGTGGCGCGAATCAGATCAAGGCATGTGACAAATATAAACAAACAGAAAGTCCATGAAAACAGAAACAAACTGAACATAATGCTAACAGTACTGCCCCTCGGAAAGGCGTGACCTCGCATCGTGACAGAGGTGGAGAAGAGGGAGTGACGGTGGAGGCTTTGAAGTTGGCCGAGGAGATGGAGAGAGGGGAAGGCGAAGGGAGGGCAGAAACAGGCAGATAGGACCGTGGAAGCACAGATGGATGTTGCCAGAGTGCAGTCAGGATGATAGCCCACGGCAGAGTGGATGGAGGAAGGAGCCATGATGGTGATTTGATGGGCATCATCCTGGTGACGATCGAAGGACAGGCAGCCGCTAGAAGAGCCCCTCGCACAGATGTAGAGCCGAGGAAACGATGACACGCCGATGACCTAGGCGGCCACGACAGAGCCGCAGTAACGACCCTCCGAGAAGGAAGCAGGGATCCTGAGGGCTGAGGATGAGCTGGTGTGACCGAGGGTGGAGGTGACGACTGAGGGAAGAAGGAGCTTGCCGGAGCCGACGGGGTGGAGGGCCAAAGGTCAATGCTGGAGTCGAGGGAGGAAGGAGCACAGGTGCAGAAACAAGGGTGATGAGTCGAGTTGGATCGGAGCAATCCGAGGCTGGAGGTGGACCACGGGCTCAATCCACCTAAGAGGGATTGGCTCCTTGCAGGTCCAAGGTGGAACCATGACACTGAGAGGTGGTGACACTAATGGACCAATGGGAGACAATGACGACTGGGTGGTAACAGTGGCTGAGGACGGGCATAGAGAGACGAACAGGATTCAACAAAAAACAAAGTGCCACCAACAGCAGTCAGGAGAGGTGGTGGGAGAGATAGGCTGGGCGGGATTAAAATGACTGAAGAAGATGATTGACATACAGGGAAGTTCATGGGATAAAAGGGATCCAACTCCCTTGAAAAATGTCCATAGAGTCTAACTGGTACTCACTCTCAGTGGTGGGAGGGTAGGCGGGGCTCACTTCCATTCCCTCGAACTCCACGAGGACTCCCACAGTGATGGACGGTGTTGCCGGCTCACACCCCTGGTCAGACTCTCCAAGATGCTTCTTCTCCGCGGCGGTGGTGGGCGCTGTCCTCTCTTCGTCGGCCTCTGGCTCACGTCGCGGCAGGCGGAAGCTTCCAGTCTGCGGGGGGCTCAGGCGTAAGATCCGTCGATCGGGGTGGTGACGGGCTAGGCTCTGGGTCGGGCTGTGGCGGCTGTATGGATCGGGGGTAGACCCTCTCCAGACTCCTGATGACGGCCTCCTTCCAGCAAAGTCCTTGGGTGTCTGTTAGGTCCACGGAATGTTGCTAGGTAACCTGATCCAATACAGCGATTTCAGCGTCTCGTCGTTATAAGGGATACAAACGTCGAGACGGCAAAACTCCAAAAGTCCAAGATGGTAAGACTGCTTATAGCCAACGCAGCAATCTTTGCGGCAAAATCGGTTTTTGGGGTCCGATCAAAAGCAAACACTAACGAGGATAATTAATAGAAGACAGCTGAAACCAATGATCTAATATTGACGGTAACCAAGGAGACAGACGAGTGGCGAGAATCAGAACAAGGCATGTGACAAATGAAAACAAACAGAAAGTCCATGAAAAAAGAAACAAACTGAACATAATGCTAACACCCACGCAGATTTCGCAGAATTCACTTCATAAATCGCTACACTACTGACAATATACAATGAACTTTTTGTCCGCAAATTTAATTGAAAATTTGTTAGTGTGTCCGCACCTTAATATGGTTTCCCTTGAACTGTTTACAGCTGGTATTGAGATGCATTTTGGTCGATCGGATCACAAGTGGACGACACTAAATACATATGTAAAGAGGGTCTGAAACGTATTGAGCTTGTCTACTTTCCACCACTTCCAGAGGTAGTTGAAAACGCATTAGATCGGAATGCTTTTGTAGTGTAAACGCTCATGTGGTCGTGTGTGTTCAAACATCCACAAAAGATCGTCTGCTCTCCGTCTACTGACCTAATGCGTAAACATTATGGAAAGAGCTCTAGCCAGACGGGATTTAAACTTTATCGGCCGAAGACCCAAGTTTGGTTTGAAGATGACAAACGTACCAAGCACAATGTTCTCTTACCATTCCTGATTTCTAACACACACTCACAGCCCATATATTTACCCGCCCATAGACCCGCAAAGAAATCAGGACAGAAGTGGTTGAAAGTGGACAAAAGAGGCGGATTAAAACACCAGGTATAAACAGGAATGTCTCCCTCGCCTACTTGTAATCCGATCAACCAAAACGCATCTTAATACCAGGAGTAAACAGGGCCATTGAGTTCTCAGTGAGCTCCTGAAGTGTGGCATTAATTCCATTTTTTTGTAAACATGGGACTGCAGTGTAATTTCTTTTTGGACTAAAAAGCCAAACAATTTGCCTCCTTATTTCAGAGGTGCACCACACAGTGAAACTGCATCCAAGGATCTGTCAGGAATGATTATTAGAGCCCGGAACATTTTGACTGTTCTTAGATTCTGCTGTGAACTTACTTGGTAAATTCACTCTTGATTATGACAATGATGATGATGATGCTCTTCTCTTCCTCTAGGTCTGGTGACTGGGTTTTCTATGAGTCCACCCACCCTTGACAACACCAAAGACCAGCTTGTGATTAACGCTAACGACACATTGACCATTACATGCAGGTACAATCCAATCATCTACAGTATTCTTAACTCTGTCTAAAAGTATCTTAATCAGTATTTTGCTATTTTTTTAAAATAATTATTATGCATGCAGTACTTATGAGCTTGTATTAATCACCTCACACTTATGCACTCTCTGCATTTCTCCTCTTCTCTAGCTTGTTTTCCAAATCTATTTGTCAAAAAAAAACCTGGCATTGTACATATGAATATTGTTAGTTCCTTAACGAATGCTTATGTTCCTCTCTTGTAAGTCGCTTTGGATAAAAGGGTCTGCTAAATGAATAAATGTAAATATATTAAATATAAATTATTGTACTTTTAGAAATTCATTTGTCTAACCAAATAGCCATTTAAACTAGTAAAAGGTGATGTAACATTTTTTATGTTAAATTATATTTTCTTAACCCAGTTTATTGACTACTATTAGTATGCCATTCATGGGTTTATCTCCCCCAAAAGTGTAAACATTGAGTCTCCTAGACACCACAAGAACATTGAGAGCGGTTCACTGAGATCTGTCAATCTCTTTCAGCTCAACTACTAGCAACAGTTGGGAGTTTGGGGTGTGGCTACTGTAGCAGACTGAGAGTTTGGGGTGTGGCTACTGTAGCAGACTGAGAGTTTGGGGTGTGGCTACTGTAGCAGGCTGAGAGTTTGGGGTGTGGCTACTGTAGCAGGCTGAGAGTTTGGGGTGTGGCTACTGTAGCAGACTGAGAGTTTGGGGTGTGGCTACTGTAGCAGACTGAGAGTTTGGGGTGTGGCTACTGTAGCAGACTGAGAGTTTGGGTTGTGGCTACTGTAGCAGACTGAGAGTTTGGGGTGTGGCTACTGTAGCTGGCTGAGAGTTTGGGGTGTGGCTACTGTAGCAGACTGAGAGTTTGGGGTGTGGCTACTGTAGCAGACTGAGAGTTTGGGGTGTGGCTACTGTAGCAGGAGGAGAGTTTGGGGTGTGGCTACTGTAGCAGACTGAGAGTTTGGGGTGTGGCCACTGTAGCAGACTGAGAGTTTGGGGTGTGGCTACTATAGCAGACTGAGAGTTTGGGGTGTGGCTACTGTAGCAGACTGAGAGTTTGGGGTGTGGCTACTGTAACACACTGATAGTTTGGGGTGTGGCTACTGTAACAGGCTGAGAGTTTGGGGTGTGGCTACTGTAGCAGACTGAGAGTTTGGGGTGTGGCTACTGTAGCAGACTGAGAGTTTGGGGTGTGGCTACTGTAGCAGAGGGAGAGTTTGAGGTGTGGCTACTGTAGCAGACTGAGAGTTTGGGGTGTGGCTACTGTAGCAGGCTGAGAGTTTGGGGTGTGGCTACTGTAGCAGACTGAGAGTTTGGGGTGTGGCTACTGTAGCAGAGGGAGAGTTTGGGGTGTGGCTACTGTAGCAGACTGAGAGTTTGGGGTGTGGCTACTGTAGCAGAGGGAGAGTTTGAGGTGTGGCTACTGTAGTAGACTGAGAGTTTGGGGTGTGGCTACTGTAGCAGACTGAGAGTTTGGTCTGTGGCTATTGTAGCAGACTGAGAGTTTGGGGTGTGGCTACTGTAGCAGGCTGAGAGTTTGGGGTGTGGCTACTGTAGCAGAGGGAGAGTTTGGGGTGTGGCTACTGTAGCAGGCTGAGAGTTTGGGGTGTGGCTACTGTAGCAGGCTGAGAGTTTGGGGTGTGGCTACTGTAGCAGACTGAGAGTTTGGGGAGTGGCTACTGTAGCAGAGGGAGAGTTTGGGGTGTGGCTACTGTAGCAGACTGAGAGTTTGGGGTGTGGCTACTGTAGCAGGCTGAGAGTTTGGGCTGTGGCTACTGTAGCAGAGGGAGAGTTTGGGGTGTGGCTACTGTAGGAGACTGAGAGTTTGGGGTGTGGCTACTGTAGCAGACTGAGAGTTTGGGGTGTGGCTACTGTAGCAGAGGGAGAGTTTGGGGCGTGGCTACTGTAGGAGACTGAGAGTTTGGGGTGTGGCTACTGTAGCAGACTGAGAGTTTGGGGTGTGGCTACTGTAGCAGACTGAGAGTTTGGGGTGTGGCTACTGTAGCAGAGGGAGAGTTTGAGGTGTGGCTACTGTAGCAGACTGAGAGTTTGGGGTGTGGCTACTGTAGCAGGCTGAGAGTTTGGGGTGTGGCTACTGTAGCAGACTGAGAGTTTGGGGTGTGGCTACTGTAGCAGACTGAGAGTTTGGGGTGTGGCTACTGTAGCAGACTGAGAGTTTGAGGAGTGGCTACTGTAGCAGACTGAGAGTTTGGGGTGTGGCTACTGCAGCAGACTGAGAGTTTGGGTTGTGGCTACTGTAGCAGACTGAGAGTTTGGGGTGTGGCTACTGTAGCAGACTGAGAGTTTGGGGTGTGGCTACTGTAGCAGAGGGAGAGTTTGGGGCGTGGCTACTGTAGGAGACTGAGAGTTTGGGGTGTGGCTACTGTAACAGACTGAGAGTTTGGGGTGTGGCTACTGTAGCAGACTGAGAGTTTGGGGTGTGGCTACTGTAGCAGACTGAGAGTTTGGGGTGTGGCTACTGTAGCAGACTGAGAGTTTGGGGTGTGGCTACTGTAGCAGACTGAGAGTTTGAGGAGTGGCTACTGTAGCAGACTGAGAGTTTGGGGTGTGGCTACTGTAGCAGACTGAGAGTTTGGGTTGTGGCTACTGTAGCAGACTGAGAGTTTGGGGTGTGGCTACTGTAGCAGGCTGAGAGTTTGGGGTGTGGCTACTGTAGCAGACTGAGAGTTTGGGGTGTGGCCACTGTAGCAGACTGAGAGTTTGGGGTGTGGCTACTGTAGCAGACTGAGAGTTTGGGGTGTGGCTACTGTAGCAGACTGATAGTTTGGGGTGTGGCTACTGTAACACACTGATAGTTTGGGGTGTGGCTACTGTAACAGGCTGAGAGTTTGGGGTGTGGCTACTGTAGCAGAGGGAGAGTTTGAGGTGTGGCTACTGTAGCAGACTGAGAGTTTGGGGTGTGGCTACTGTAGCAGACTGAGAGTTTGGGGTGTGGCTACTGTAACAGGCTGAGAGTTTGGGGTGTGGCTACTGTAGCAGAGGGAGAGTTTGAGGTGTGGCTACTGTAGCAGACTGAGAGTTTGGGGTGTGGCTACTGTAGCAGACTGAGAGTTTGGGGTGTGGCTACTGTAGCAGACTGAGAGTTTGGGGTGTGGCTACTGTAGCAGACTGATAGTTTGGGGTGTGGCTACTGTAACACACTGAGAGTTTGGGGTGTGGCTACTGTAACAGGCTGAGAGTTTGGGGTGTGGCTCCTGTAGCAGACTGAGAGTTTGGGGTGTGGCTACTGTAACAGGCTGAGAGTTTGGGGTGTGGCTACTGTAGCAGAGGGAGAGTTTGAGGTGTGGCTACTGTAGCAGACTGAGAGTTTGGGGTGTGGCTACTGTAACAGACTGAGAGTTTGGGGTGTGGCTACTGTAGCAGAGGGAGAGTTTGGGGTGTGGCTACTGTAGCAGACTGAGAGTTTGGGGTGTGGCTACTGTAGCAGAGGGAGAGTTTGAGGTGTGGCTACTGTAGCAGACTGAGAGTTTGGGGTGTGGCTACTGTAGCAGGCTGAGAGTTTGGGGTGTGGCTACTGGAGCAGACTGAGAGTTTGGGGTGTGGCTACTGTAGCAGAGGGAGAGTTTGGGGTGTGGCTACTGTAGCAGACTGAGAGTTTGGGGTGTGGCTACTGTAGCAGAGGGAGAGTTTGAGGTGTGGCTACTGTAGCAGACTGAGAGTTTGGGGTGTGGCTACTGTAGCAGACTGAGAGTTTGGGGTGTGGCTATTGTAGCAGACTGAGAGTTTGGGGTGTGGCTACTGTAGCAGGCTGAGAGTTTGGGGTGTGGCTACTGTAGCAGAGGGAGAGTTTGGGGTGTTGCTACTGTAGCAGGCTGAGAGTTTGGGGTGTGGCTACTGTAGCAGGCTGAGAGTTTGGGGTGTGGCTACTGTAGCAGACTGAGAGTTTGGGGAGTGGCTACTGTAGCAGAGGGAGAGTTTGGGGTGTGGCTACTGTAGCAGACTGAGAGTTTGGGGTGTGGCTATTGTAGCAGGCTGAGAGTTTGGGGTGTGGCTACTGTAGCAGAGGGAGAGTTTGGGGTGTGGCTACTGTAGGAGACTGAGAGTTTGGGGTGTGGCTACTGTAGCAGACTGAGAGTTTGGGGTGTGGCTACTGTAGCAGAGGGAGAGTTTGGGGTGTGGCTACTGTAGGAGACTGAGAGTTTGGGGTGTGGCTACTGTAGCAGACTGAGAGTTTGGGGTGTGGCTACTGTAGCAGACTGAGAGTTTGGGGTGTGGCTACTGTAGCAGACTGAGAGTTTGGGGTGTGGCTACTGTAGCAGACTGAGAGTTTGGGGTGTGGCTACTGTAGCAGACTGAGAGTTTGAGGAGTGGCTACTGTAGCAGACTGAGAGTTTGGGGCGTGGCTACTGTAGCAGACTGAGAGTTTGGGGTGTGGCTACTGTAGCAGACTGAGAGTTTGGGGTGTGGCTACTATAGCAGACTGAGAGTTTGAGGTGTGGCTACTGCAGCAGACTGAGAGTTTGGGGTGTGGCTACTGTAGCAGACTGAGAGTTTGAGGAGTGGCTACTGTGGCTACTGTAGCAGACTGAGAGTTTGAGGAGTGGCTACTGTAGCAGACTGAGAGTTTGGGCCGTGGCTACTGTAACAGACTGAGAGTTTGGGGTGTGGCTACTGTAGCAGACTGAGAGTTTGGGGTGTGGCTACTGTAGCAGACTGAGAGTTTGGGGTGTGGCTACTGTAGCAGACTGAGAGTTTGGGGTGTGGCCACTGTAGCAGACTGAGAGTTTGGGGTGTGGCTACTGTAGCAGACTGAGAGTTTGGGGTGTGGATACTGTAGCAGAGGGAGAGTTTGGGGTGTGGCCACTGTAGCAGACTGAGAGTTTGGGGTGTGGATACTGTAGCAGACTGAGAGTTTGGGGTGTGGATACTGTAGCAGACTGAGAGTTTGGGGTGTGGCCACTGTAGCAGACTGAGAGTTTGGGGTGTGGATACTGTAGCAGACTGAGAGTTTGGGGTGTGGCTACTGTAGCAGACTGAGAGTTTGGGGTGTGGCTACTGTAGCAGACTGAGAGTTTGGGGTGTGGCTACTGTAGCAGACTGAGAGTTTGGGTTGTGGATACTGTAGCAGACTGAGAGTTTGGGGTGTGGCTACTGTAGCAGACTGAGAGTTTGGGGTGTGGCTACTGTAGCAGACTGAGAGTTTGGGGTGTGGCCACTGTAGCAGACTGAGAGTTTGGGGTGTGGATACTGTAGCAGACTGAGAGTTTGGGGTGTGGCCACTGGAGCAGACTGAGAGTTTGGGGTGTGGATACTGTAGCAGAGGGAGAGTTTGGGGTGTGGCCACTGTAGCAGACTGAGAGTTTGGGGTGTGGATACTGTAGCAGACTGAGAGTTTGGGGTGTGGATACTGTAGCAGACTGAGAGTTTGGGGTGTGGCCACTGTAGCAGACTGAGAGTTTGGGGTGTGGATACTGTAGCAGACTGAGAGTTTGGGGTGTGGCTACTGTAACAGACTGAGAGTTTGGGGTGTGGCTACTGTAGCAGACTGAGAGTTTGGGGTGTGGCTACTGTAGCAGACTGAGAGTTTGGGGTGTGGATACTGTAGCAGACTGAGAGTTTGGGGTGTGGCTACTGCAGCAGAGGGAGAGTTTGGGGTGTGGCTACTGTAGCAGACTGAGAGTTTGGGGTGTGGCTACTGTAGCAGACTGAGAGTTTGGGGTGTGGCTACTGTAGCAGACTGAGAGTTTGGGGTGTGGCCACTGTAGCAGACTGAGAGTTTGGGGTGTGGCTACTGTAGCAGACTGAGAGTTTGGGGTGTGGCTACTGTAGCAGACTGAGAGTTTGGGGTGTGGCTACTGTAGCAGACTGAGAGTTTGGGGTGTGGCCACTGTAGCAGACTGAGAGTTTGGGGTGTGGATACTGTAGCAGACTGAGAGTTTGGGGTGTGGCTACTGTAGCAGACTGAGAGTTTGGGGTGTGGCTACTGTAGCAGAGGGAGAGTTTGGGGTGTGGCTACTGTAGGAGACTGAGAGTTTGGGGTGTGGCTACTGTAGCAGACATTATGCACATTTTCAGAAAGACAAATGTACCAGTTTATAATGTTTACTTTAATGTTTCCAGTGTAGACAGACTTAAACAGTTTTGGTGAGTCATGTCAAATATAAGCCCGATGCGTTGGATTGGTTTATTATAAGCGAGACGCTCATGTTCGCTCTAGACAGTGTTAGTTACTCAATTGCTTACTTGTCTATCAACACAGCTTAAAGTAAAATGTTGAGACATGCCTTCATAAGCACCCATAAGAGATGTATTTGTGATGTTTGAGTTGAGGGAGGCGTGACACGTGAAAGGGACATTGTGAACAGTTACAGGACCTAAAATATAAATTTTTCCCCACACACTTACATAGATTCTTTCTAAAAATCTTGATATTTAAGAAAAAAAAAGTCCATTGATACATTATATATAAAAAAACCCTAATACATCTAGGTTAAATTACTTTTTGGTGCTGAATGGGATAAAATGTCTAGTTTAATAAACAATCAAGACCTGGATTTTGTCGATTTTGATTGAATAATTGGATAAGCCTGTGAGCCATTACAAAAACAAGGAGAATGTTACATTTGGAATTGATTTGATAGTTAAGTTTAGAAATAAATGTGGTATGAACATACAGGGAGGCTATCCAACATTTTTAGGTCTAATCCCTTCAAAATTTGCAGACGTTTCTCGCCAAGAATTCCCAGAATAAATTGTTTTTCAGCAGTTCAGTGTGATCGATGAGCAGTATTAAGCAAAGCCATGGCTGGCGTTCAAAAATCACTGTATTTCATAATCTGATTGAGGAACACATCAGTTTAAATGTCATTGCCCTTTCCTTCGCCATCTACAAATCTGTCTGTTACAAGGGACTCAAGCACTGGTTTCAAGACATGCACAGATATCAAGGTATCTTTGCAAGCAATTAAGGCAAGCATTACTATTATTATTTCTCTTAGGATTAAGAATTTAAACAACCTGCTCCTCTGTATATTTCATATATTGAGAGAAGACTGCTATTAATTTTCTAAATGTTTAGTCCAGTGTTGGGAGTAATGCATTACAAGTAACGCGAGTTACGTAATCAGATTACTTTTTTTCAAGTAACTAGTAAAGTAATGCATTACTTTTAATTTTACAACAAAATATGTGAGTACTTTTTCAAATAAGTAACGCAAGTAACTTTGTTTTCTCATGTATTGACTGACAGCTCTCCTTTACTTATGTTGAGAGGAATCATGAGTAAGTACAGAGGCGTTGTGTGTGAACATGAGGATTGTAGTTCTAGACTAAATGTGAGCATTTACTAATCTCACTTACACAAAAACAGATTCAGTATTCCTCAAAATGAATAAAAACAGTGAAATGTAAACTCAGAATATTGTGCAAATCTGCAGTAATTAAATATACTTTATGTATTTAATCTCACTTTATTAAACAATGTATTTGCTGCTGACCTTCGATGATCCAATTCAACCATATTAATAAGCAAAAATGACTTTAGTTAAACACATTTTTGTTTTTATTGCTGCACCCTCTACTATTCAGTTGTGAATTTGCATTTCCTTCACCCTGAGGCTTATAAATTTTCACTTTTGCTGTGAAACGGCCTTTGCTTTTGCCAAAATATAACTTTTTTTGTTATTAAAAAACATGCAATCCCAGCTCAGGTGACAAAAAGTAATGCAAAGTCATGTAACCCATTACTTTCCACAAAAAGTAACTAAGTAACGCAATTAGTAATTTTTTTAGCGACTAATGCAACATTACTTTTAAAAGTAACCTTAACCCAACACTGGTTTAGACTTAAAAACATCACATAGATTTACATCTAGAAGAGATAAAGGGCCTAGAAGAGGAGCATTAATCAAACTTTATCTAATTAGTCAGTTTTGTCTTGAAGGTGAACTAAATGAGTTGGCGTATAAACACATTTTTCACTCAGATTTGATCTCCTCAAGCTTTAAAATGTAGGTTGTGTGCCATGGGACAATATTGTAGTAAAACAGCTGAGTTTATGTGATTATACTCCAGGGGACAGCGGATTCTGGACTGGAGCTGGCCTGAAGAGTCTTTGAGTAAAATCGAGATTACTGACCGTCAGCATCAGGAGTCACCCGGGCCCACGCCGGGCCACAGAGCGGTCAGGGTGAAGGAGTGTCAAGGGGAGGCTGGGAAACCCTACTGTAAGTCCTTAATACTGCCCGACGCCCAGGCCAATGACTCCGGACACTACCGCTGCTTCTACCAGGGCATCAAAGCTGTCATCGATGGGACCACGGCAGCCAGCACTTTTGTCTTTGTGCGAGGTGAGAGCTGTAAAGTGTTTTCTTTTGCTTCATCAATGTTTTTATTTTCCTTTATGAAAAATATCATTTTTTATTATATCTTTCTTTTTTCCCTTTTTTCCTCCTTTATTTAGTTTTCTAATATGACTTTTGTTTTTTTTCTGAACAAAGGTCCCAAAGGAAACGATAGCACGGTATGCGAAATGTGTAAAAATAAGGAAACTCTAGTTACAGATAAATATAGTTACAGATAAATATCCCTGATACATAAATATAGGTGTTCCAAACAGATCACAGCGGTGACAGGGTGTGGAAAAAAATAAATATAGAAAAAAATACTACCATAACAAAATACCAATAGTTAGGTAAATAAATTAAGAGTTACAAAGATATAATGCAGTATAAAAACAAGTTATCACATTCCCAAGTGATCTAATACAGGCTTCTATATTTTCCAAAATATATCTAGCTTGTCTTCATCAATGTTATTTTACTGCATTTTCGTATCGTCCTCCTATTAAAAAGGCTACATATCCTTTATTCTTCTTTATAGTCTCAGACAGCAACATAGTGTCGGCCCAGATCCGGCCCACATCTGGTACACATGGATTCCACACGGCCCAGATGTGGGCCGGATCCGGTACACATGGATTCCACACGGCCCAGATGTGGGCCGGATCCGGTACACATGGATTCCACACGGCCCAGATGTGGGCCGGATCCAGTACACATGGATTCCACACGACCCAGATGTGGGCCGGATCCAGTACACATGGATTCCACACGGCCCAGATGTGGGCCGGATCCGGTACACATGGATTCCACATGGCCCAGATGTGGGCCGGATCCGGTACACATGGATTCCACACGGCCCAGATGTGGGCCGGATCCGGTAACACATGGATTCCACATGGCCCAGATGTGGGCCGGATCCAGTACACATGGATTCCACACGGCCCAGATGTGGGCCGGATCCGGTACACATGGATTCCACATGGCCCAGATGTGGGCCGGATCCGGTACACATGGATTCCACACGGCCCAGATGTGGGCCGGATCCGGTACACATGGATTCCACACGGCCCAGATGTGGGCCGGATCCGGTACACATGGATTCCACATGGCCCAGATGTGGGCCGGATCCGGTACACATGGATTCCACATGGCCCAGATGTGGGCCGGATCCGGTACACATGGATTCCACACGGCCCAGATGTGGGCCGGATCCGGTACACATGGATTCCACACGGCCCAGATGTGGGCCGGATCCGGTACACATGGATTCCACACGGCCCAGATGTGGGCCGGATCCGGTACACATGGATTCCACATGGCCCAGATGTGGGCCGGATCCGGTACACATGGATTCCACACGGCCCAGATGTGGGCCGGATCCGGTACACATGGATTCCACACGGCCCAGATGTGGGCCGGATCCGGTACACATGGATTCCACATGGCCCAGATGTGGGCCGGATCCGGTACACATGGATTCGACACATGGATTCCATATTTGCCCTTTTTCTTCAGCTTTAGATACTTTGAAGAATGTGCAGCCTCGTCATTCCCCCTTAACAAAAAAACACTCAGAAATACTGAGAAAGACTATACAGACTATGGTCAACAGTTCAGTCCAAAAGATAATGTGATCTTCAAGAAGATGTGATTTTTCCAGTATGAAGCCGCGAGGACTCAAATGGTGTGTAAGTGTTATTGGTTCCCGAGACTGAGCCTGTAGTTCTGGACAAATGGACTGCAATTCTTCATCATTCTTTAGCCCATTCGTGCAAATACATACTTAACCTTTGAAAGAATAGATGTTATTTCTGAAGGAAAACATTAAAAGAAGTTGTTGAATATCAGTGTCTGGTCCCTTTTGCAATTTGTGGCATTTTCCTGAGGCAAACCAAATCACAAATCCTGTCTTTATTCGACTCCCTTCAAAGAATGCTTGGCCAGGCTGTCTTTGTCTAAAGTTTCTATTTTCTTTGGGGAACAGTCAAAGACATCATAAACATCTTCTCTTCAGAAGATCAGAGAAGATTATACATGAACACGCTAAGAACATGTTTGCTTTGCCCCTGAGACGGCCCACGAATCGGAAAAAGCTTTTATACTGAATAAACTCAAGATAAGAAAGTGAATAAAGAGACGCCTCATGATGCCAGACATCACCATTAGAGACGTGTCCCTTCCAGTGTCCTCCTTATCGTATAAAAGGAGGAATATTTATGTTGAGTTTGATGGTTTGAGCGCATTATCACCTCACAAATGTGGATGGGAGTGTTACTATAATTTGATTTACTCATTAACATTACATTTGGATGTCAAGGCTGTCTGGATTCATATATACGTAAATGGACTTTTGAATCCAGGCCTACTATTCCAGTCCAAATTTACAGAACATCTAGATACTAATTAAAAATGGAAATTCTGCCATTTCCCAATGTCATTTTCCAATTGTTTTTTGTTGTTGTTGAACACAAAAGTCGTTTTTGACGAACCTCAAGGCAGTTTTTCCCAAACAATAGTACATTACAGTGACCAACAAAGACACAGAAGTTCACATTTATCAGTCAGTCGGTGGACCTGGACTGGCTGAAAGAGCACACGACTGCTTTGTTTTGGATTAGTTGGACATCACTGACACCAAAACACCATTGATTCTTGCACGATTATCAGTGATTTTGGACTGTTCATCACACAAAACTAGTGTGTAAGGAAAAACGTTTTAAATATGTCATTTTGATTATCAAAGATGAGTTTTAAGGGATACTATTATTGACTACAGGGGGACTTTAAGGCTGTTTTCACTGTAAAGCATTTTGAGAAGCTTCTTTAAAGGTGCTAAATAACATAAAGCTTATTGTTATTACTATTGTCACTATAGATTGAACAAAGTAAGATTGTCTCCTACAGAAAAGTAAATAAATAAAAGCAAACATGAGCCGGTTAGTCATCCAAGACTGGTTCTACATTTTAAAGTCAGTTACATAGATGAGTCTAATTGTTTAACTGCTAGTTGGTCAAACTAGTTCCCAGTCTGAACACAGTGGCGGTGTTTATGCAACCATGTGAGTAAGTAATGAGAGATGAGGGGGATTGTTTATTTTCGCACCACAATCTAGCTCTGTATTTGTAACAAATTGAGTTGATCAAAAGAGTCTGCGACATCGGACCGCTTTTCCTTGTGTTGCTCTCATTCCTTGACAGGGTTATAAGAGCCAGGATTAAAAGGGGCCCGGGGAGAGCCAGGTACAGACGTCCCGCTGACTCGCTCACTCGTGTGAAATGCCGGGTGATTTCTCCTGACAACATGCCGATGCCGTGTCCACAGATCTCTGCAGGGGGCTGATCAGAGCCAGCTGAAATCACACATATAAATTAGCAGTGAGCGGAGAGCAGAATGGCACTTGGCTGCATGTGGCTTCATTTATCCAACGCCTCTCGATCCGAGCTGTCGGCGTTATGGCTTCATGTCACGCCCTCCAGCGCCTCCCAATCTCTTCAGAAAAAACAATTCCCCTCCTGAAGATGATTTATTGTGAAGCACCATAGCTGTGAGGAGTTGTGTATTTTCCCTGTTATGCCTGTGTATGCAGACCACCGCGGGGCAGAAACATGAACCTCGAGATACGGAGGTGTGTTTGGACTCCGACAGCTTGGAGTGATTGCTTTGAGCTACGCGAGGAAGAATCAGACTTGTTAGAATAATGCCGGCTTTGAAGAAGCGGATGTTCAAATAAAGGCTTAGAAAGAGCGCTAGAAAGTGAGCGCTGGAGAGTATGTTTTAGCGGTCCCACACATATGGATTGTGCCCAAGACGAAAGCCTCGTATTCAGTGGTTTAAGGAACGGTGCTGGAGACTGTTGATAGAGCGGTGTCATAAAAATCTCCCCTCTTAGATATAATCAGGCTAAATCTGGCTAAAAACTGTGTATATTCAGGCAAAGAACTTGAGGTGGAATGTTAAGTCTGGACTTTAAAGGAATACTCTGGGTTAAAGACTTAGGCTGTGTGTTCACCAAAGCGTTTTTAGCCAGCTGAAAACGCTAGCCGCTCTGCTGAAAACGTTTTGAACGTTTATGAGCGTTTTGGCTGCGCAGTGTTTTTTCCGTTGAGACGCTTCGTTGCTATGATACAGAATATCCACAGCACAGTTTACTTGTAACTTATTTTGCAGATAATTTGTTACATACTAAAAATGTATTTTTCATCCATGTTGTTCGGTTAGCTCTGCTGGTTGATGTCGTTGTACAGAAAGAATGTTGTGTCAGTTGGTCGGTGTGGTATTAGCCCCCCCCCTCCTCCACTGTGATTGGACGGCTGGGTAAAAAGTGACAGTGATTAGCGCTGCGTTTTACCCAAAGTTGAACATTCTTCAACTCTCGTTGACCAGTAAAAAAACGCCGGGCACTCAGCGCTTCAGCGTGAAAAAAATGGCGTTTTAAGGCCCTTTCACACCGGACGCGTAACAAAAAAGCGAAACGGAAAAGCGAATAGTGCGCGTCAAAACCATTCACATCAGCCTCGACGCGAATTTGCGACGTTCAGAGCTTCAACATTCCAAAACTTTCGCGCCGACAGCTGAGAAAACACGGACACTTCATCATCATCATCATCATCATCATCATCCAGTGAAGACGAGCTTTTCGTTTGCTTTATAAAGACAGAAAACAAGGTTGTGCACCTAATCTTAAAGAACAGAGAGTCTGAAGGGGAGTATGCTAATCTTGTAAAGTAGCTAAAACTTTGCCACAAAGAACCGGCCAAAGTTAGGATTATGCATTAAACATTTGAATTGTTTATTTATAAAGTGTTTTCTGTCAGTTTTCGATATGAGACGCGCTCCAGTTCACGCGCCGGCGCCTCCGTGTCCTAATTATATTGTCTACTATATTTGCTTCTTATTCCTATTAATCCAGGCAATTTGTTGATGAAACATTGATTAAAATTAAGATACAATTTATACAAAATGAAATTCACTTTAAAGAAAGGCTTTCTACAAAACAAAACTTAATAAGTGGTCAAAATTATGTCTGACCCATTCCAAATGTTTTCGATATATTGGGCATCTTATGATCCTTACTCATCTCATGCGGTTCCCTTTTCATATAGATCATCAACATAGATGAAATAAAAAAAATAGCATTATATTATTTAAACGTATATATGAAACAGATGTTTTGTTTGAGTTTAACTTATAGGCCTATTTAAGCGTCACCGCTCCGCGTTATTTACGCACATGCTCTGGTGTGTGGCCTATACATGCATGCAAAAATAATATGAAACACACAACTATGAATGTTGAAAATATTCCAAATCAATTATTTCCCTCCTAGTCAAAAATACTATAAATCATCAGCACGCACTTCATCAACTCGCCGGAGACACAAACGATCCCAGCTATTTTATCCCATGCCTCATTCTCGTTGCTGGTAAGAAACACCGTCATGTCATTAATGATAGGGTATATGCCTGCGTTGAGATGCAGAATAGGCAATATAAAAATGCTGTCATTATAAAAGGTTTCTAGTTTCAATGTATTGCTTGTTTTTAGTTTATATTTCATGTTGTGACACTTCTCTTCTCTCGCACATAATGCTGCTACGTCAGAGCAGCCAAAGCGTCCACAAGCTTCGGCTTTGTTTCCCTGTATGTGATTGGCTGAAGCCTTTTCTGTCGCCGCAAAAGTAAAAAAAAATCGGCATCGAAGCAAAAAAAATAAAACTCGTTTTTTCGCCGCAGCACATTCGCGTTCGTTGTGGAAGCACTCATTACACAAACAGCTGATCAAAAAATAAAACAATTGCGCGAATTATTCGTGCGTCAAATCGCGTCCAGTGTGAAAGGACCTTTAAAAACGCGGCGCTCCCATTGAAAATAATTGAAAAAATACGCCAGCCGCGTGAAAAAGTGCTTTGGTGGACACACACACGGCCTTAAGCTTTATCAACAGCGTCTGTGACACACTGTTGATTAGCATTTTTAAAAATGTGTGTACAGTCAAGTCACCTTTATTCATATAGTGACTCATACAGTACAGATTGTTTCAAAGCAGTGATAAACAGTGAAATAATGATCACTGATGCAAACAGAATTCAATTCTGCTGTTCAATAACTGTCTAAAGTACATACATTATGAAATCAGCTCAGTTTAGTTAAAGCAGCTCTACAGAAGATGAATTTTCTACGGAAGATTCATCACATGATGCCTAGGAAGCAAGTGTAAAGCGCCACAAAGAAAATATTACCATATCTGTACATTGTTTTGACAGTATAACCATGATTTAGGCCAATGTGAAATATTATCATCTACTCTACACAAAGTCTGTGAGTGAAAACGCTTCTACCTTCACAAGCGCAGCTGGTGTCAGACCACAATTCTGGACCACAAAACATCTGGTTTAATGGCACAAACATTTGAAGGAAACTCTATCGCCCCCTTGAGTACAGAAGTTTATCGCCACAACCACGATCACTGAGACTAATGGCTCCATTAACCTCGGAAGTTAGATGTCGGACCTGGACCTCAAGTTGACCGCGTTCTAGTACACAAGTCAGAAATCCAAGATGGATGCTATTTTTGCGCAGAAAATGCCAGTGTCATGTCCACAAATAGAGGTTGGATAGCACTGAGTTTACTGAGACACTAGTCTCGCGTAGGCAGATCTTCAGACTGACGACAGAAGCTTTCACTGGCCAAGGACCGCCCAGAGGCCGTCTGATTGACATGTGCAGCAACCAATCACATTTCGTTCTGTTCAGCGTCATGTTTAGGGCCGTGAAAATGTAATGTCGATGTCCCTACAATAGTGTAAAACTCTTGGACGTATTTTAAAGAGTCTATGCTGCGAACTTCTCACACTTTTGAAAATCCAGCGTTTAGATAATCATGATAAGCGCTCATTGTCACAGTTGTAAACATGACGGCTTTCTTTTTCCATGAGGGGGTTTGGCATCACGGCATCTTTGTTTCTAGGTGGACCTTTAAAGAACACGACAAACGTGTCTTTGGGAAATCCTGTAGAATTCAGCCAATCAGATTAAAGACTTTGAAACTCCCGAAGTGTTTCCCGTTGTGTGTGCTATATGGATCAGACGTTCAGTTAACGGTCTGTGGACATGGTGTCTGAGGTTGAGACTATTGAGACACAGACAAAGAGAAGTGCTAATAACCTACATATTACTTCTGTTTCACTTAATGTCTGCGGTTCCTCAGAGTTTTCCGGTTGGAATATCCGAGTACAAATAAAACGCACCATATGTGCGTTTAATTTGCATACTTGTGTATGTTTCTGACCTTTAAGTCCCCCTGTAGTCAATAATTCCCTTAAAACTCATCTTTGATCTCCAAAATGACATATTTAAAAGTTTTTGCCTTCTTCATGCCTTAAATCTTGAATGTAACTCGACACCCTCACCTCATTTAGTATACGCATGGTTCTATGAATATGCAAATTAGCCCCGCCTCCACTCACTCACTGATTGGTTACAAGGTCGTTTTTTGACGTCAGAAACACCAGCGATTTCAAACCGTGTTTTTGAGACTGTCTTTGGTTCACTGCAGTTTTAAGCAGAAAATACTCAGCAATGCTGTCGACTTATGAACTTACACATGGTTTGTGTTAAAGCATATTAAAAACACCACATAGACACATAAACAACATTAAAAACTGGATTTTCACCACAGGGGGACTTTAACAAAATGGCATGTGGACAACTCTTGTCGATCCACCAACATCACAGCTCAAATATTAAACATCTTAACAAAAAAAACAAGCCTCACATTTTTTCTTTTACACCTTGGTGAATTTGTTGGAAGTATTTTCTGTTATGGCATTATATTATTGTATGATCCGAAGGTCCTGATTAGTCAGAAGTCCTGTGATGCTGTGGGGCTTGATTTGAGGTGACGGGGCAGATCAATTATAGACAACTGAACTAATGTCACTTTCCTTCAAACAAACAGACCCACAAAATCCATTCATCATGAGGAATGGGAGTGAAATGGAGACCATCTTCATAACGAACTCGGATACACACATTGAAGTGCCATGTCTGGTTTCAGATCCGGACCTGAAAGTCACTCTCTTCTTGGTAAGTCCTCCAACACACTTCCAACATCATCTCTCTAAAGAGGGAATCTTTTGTTTTTGTGTTTTTTTAGAGATTGAACCCATGATTGACAGTTACTACATACGCAGCATAAGTGTAACTTTCAGCCCTCAGCTAACTCAAGTGACATATAGCTTTCTAAGCCAAGGGAAATGAAAACAGTAACTTAAAGAAAATCATCAGAAGTAATAAAGTGCAACGCTTAGTGCGATTTATTGAAATGGCGGAGCTACAAAGCGTTGTTCGTTCATTAACTGATAACAGCGTAGACTGAAAAAATAATGCTTGGGATTTAAGAAGAGATATCGGCTCTTCAAAATGAGAATCGTTTAGAATTAAGAAATCAATATATTTTTTTAACCCTGAGTTCAGCCTTTGTGCTTCAACTTCCAGCATTGTATTAAGGTCGACCGTAGGCCCTCTCTCCAAACCCTCCAACAGATAATTATGAAACATGTACAGACTGTTACCGTTTGCTCTAATAACCAGAGACAGCGTGCAGTTATGAGGCGGCAAGACTTGACCGTTTTAAACACTCAGTAGTTAGTTATAAGAGTGTCAGGTGGGACAGTCTAGCGGTACAGCTTTTATTCAGCATGAAAGGGTTCAAATCTTGACATAACATTTTTTAATCAGAATTGCAGCAGAACTTGACAGCTAAGGGATAACTATGCATTTTTATTTAATGTAAAGGAGCAGCTTTGACAGTTTGTTCGATGGGGAATTTTGAGTGACATGATGACAGAATATATTGATTTAAAGCAAACGAGATGCAGTACTCGGATGTGACTCGAATGGACTCATAGAGAGTAGAATAAAATTAGGCTCACATTTTCTGTTTCTCAGTGTTTCACAGGCGAAATGTCAGTAAGAATCTGCGCGATTGGAAGTTTTGTGTGAGAGAGCACAAGTTCCCCTCGCAGATTTCACTTGTGTTCACAGAAAGCTGCTAGGTTTGAACGTGACTTGTGTGGGCTGTGCTTTATACAGTACATATGCTATAAACAACGAACAAAAGTCCTCTTTTGTCCATTAAATTTCGCTAATGCAATGCATTTTTTTCAAATTATCATGCAACTTAATTTTCAAAGATACAAATAATATTTTGCTATGTTTAACATCTGCTTAGATTGAATCACAGTGATCTTCATAATCTAAGGCTTGCATTTTGTTCATGCATTAGATTGCAGCATTGGTCTGATTGAGTTTGATTCATGTTTAATTGAATGTTGTTGTCGTTGGTACAGTACAGGGAGCCTCCGTTGCTTCTAGAAAGCAGTGAGATCACCTGGAATAATAAAAGGGGCTGGTCGGTTCCCATGGACGTCTATGACCACACTTCCATCTTTTTCGGCTTCTTCTGCTCCGTCCACAACACCGAGCACAGATCCAAATTATACTTGGTGCAACTCACAGGTAAGACCTGTTCAATATTCGTTTGATTGGCTGTAATTTGATCATAAATCCAAGCATTTAAATATCATCTTACTAAGACATATTATTGGCAGATACAGTCACGACTGATATTTATATGCATTTTATGTAAGTATCTGCTATACTGTTATAAATATCTCATTGATTTACATTACGAGCTTTTATTTTTCGTCCATATGAATATCAGCATCTGCAGCAAATTGCATATTTTTGCTCAGTTTGAAAATAAAACAGCTGTTTTTCTTCTTCGAATGTGAGCTCTATATTCTCCCTATATCATACTATATGAGCCATAAAAGCCTGATGTGTCAAATATGACACCCTATAAAAAACAACTGCACATTTTTGGGGGGGATTTTTTATATGTCAGGCTTTACATGGTTAAACGTCTCAGGTTACGTATATAACCCTGGTTCCCTGAGAGGGAACGGGATGCTGCGTTGAGACGCGGTGGGAACGCCCTGGGGAATTGCATCGTGAAGCACGTGTAAAATCAGTCCAATGGAAAGACGAGACGTCATAGGTGACATCATAGACCAGGAAACTATAAAGCAACCCTGAAATCAGACCGCGATAGCTTCTGAAAAGCCTGAAGCAAGTCGATCAGGGCATGCAGGAAGTATGGCAGGAGAACGAAGCGTCTCGTTCCCTCTCAGGGAACCAGGGTTACATACGTAACCTGAGACGTTCCCTTTCAAGGGAACTCGAGCTGCGTTGAGACGCGGTGGGAACCCCATACCCACTACGCCATAATGACAAATGCCTGTTCTGTGTGAAGTCCTTGCGCACACTAAGAAGAAAGCAATCTAGGCCCAGGAGTGGAGAGGTCTAAGTCATAAAACCTGACAAATGTATGTGGTGAGGACCAGCCCGCCGTATTACAAACATCCTGAAGGGAAACACACGAAATTAAAGCCTTAGAGGCAGCCATACTCCTCGTAGAATGGGCCCGAACAGCCATAGGTGAAGACTGTCCGGCCGCTTCATAAGCAAGTGAGATAGCCTGTTTAGATGCAGGGCAACCTTTCTTGGGTGACCCGAAGCAGACAAATAACTGCTCAGATTTACGCCACAGGGCAGCTCTGTGAACGTAAGCATCCAATGCCCAAACGGGACTGTGGTGAGCAGGACGGCCGAGGGACGTGAGAGAACGTCGCGAGGCCGGTGGTGCGATTGCTAATGAGCAGCACCTGTGAAGCACACCGGTCTCGCATCTCTCACGGAGGAGCGGAAGCATAAAGGGGGAGCGACGAAGTGTATGAGCGAGAGAGGAACAGGCCTGCTTTTGTTTGTGTTTTGTTTTATTTTATTTTGGTAGCCAGCAGTCGTCCGTGAGGGGCTGCTGGCAGGTTATGTTATATTTTATTTTGGGTAGCCAGCAGTTCCGTGAGGGACTGCTGGCAGGTATTGTGTTTATTTCATTTAAAATAAAGTTTTATTTTGATTGTCCGCCGGTTCCCGCCTCCTTCTTCCCTGAACATTGCTACACTGGTGCCGAAACCCGGGAAGAGGGAGGAACGCGCTGTCCGAGGGTCCTCGCCGCTGTGGGGAATCCGCGGTGCCATCGAGCATGGTGCGCGAGTCGCCGCCGCGGACCGGAGCCTGCTGCCGTCCGCCGTAGAAGGGGAGGAGCAGGGAGAGGGGGACTCGCAGCCATGGACGCTCGAGGCGGGGCGCTGGGGTGAGTTGCCGGTGGGACGCCCGAGCTCGCCGCTGACCGCCTGGGAATGGAGGGGCGGCCCTTCCGGGAGGGAGAGGAGGAGTCACCGCCGCTTGCCGTGGGCCGGAGCCTGCTGTCATCCGCCAGTGAAGGGGAGGAGCAGGGAGCGGGGGACTCCTGCCGTCTGCCCAAGGCACCAGAGGAGCCGTCGCGGTCCACCGGGGGCGGGGGGGCGTCGAGGCGTCCACCGAGGGCCATCCAGCGTCGCCGCCGGGCACCGCGGAGGAGATCGCCCAGCTGGTGAGGGACAAGATGGCAGCGCGTTGTGGGAACCGGACCAAGTTTTTTTTTCCTCTCTCCCCTCTCTCGATCTGTCGCTCCTCATGCTTCCGTCTCCGTTTCCCTCGGCTTGTTGATCCATACCCCCAGGGATCGCGGCCGCCGCCGGGGGGGGGGGGGGGGGGGGGGGGATGGGGGGAGTAGGCACAGTCTCGGGTGTACCCCCCGGCCTGTGAGGGGTGATGGGGGTATGTGGTGAGCAGGACGGCCGAGGGACGTGAGAGAACGTCGCGAGGCCGGTGGTGCGATTGCTAATGAGCAGCACCTGTGAAGCACACCGGTCTCGCATCTCTCACGGAGGAGCGGAAGCATAAAGGGGGAGCGACGAAGTGTATGAGCGAGAGAGGAACAGGCCTGCTTTTGTTTGTGTTTTGTTTTATTTTATTTTGGTAGCCAGCAGTCGTCCGTGAGGGGCTGCTGGCAGGTATTGTGTTTATTTCATTTAAAATAAAGTTTTATTTTGATTGTCCGCCGGTTCCCGCCTCCTTCTTCCCTGAACATTGCTACAGGGACATAACAGATTAAGTTTTTCCTGATCTGGGGTATTAAAAGGTGGAGGATAAAAGGCCTGCAACACTATTGGGCCCGCAACATTAGCAGGGACCTTAGGGATGTAACCTGGCCTAGGGTAAAGAAATGCCTTCACCATACCAGGTGCAAATTCCAAGCATGAAGGAGCAACCGACAGGGGTTGCAAATCTCCAATTCTCTTGATAGAAGAAATAGTGAGAAGAAATAAAGTTTTTAGAGTGAGGAACTTTTCTGAAACCTCTTCGATGGGCTCAAAGGGAGCCAAAGCCAGACCCTCAAGTACAATGGCCAAATTCCAAGATGGTGCTCTAGAGTGCAGTGCAGGTCTCAACCTCAATGTATCACGGAGAAAACGAATAATAAGTGGATCTCTCCCAATAGAAATACCCCCCATAGGGGTGTGGTAGGCCGATATAGCCGCCACGTAGAAGGAGATAATCCTGCAGAGAAACGGTATTGCAAGAAATCAAGAACTGTACCAAAAGGGCAGTTAACAGGATCTAAGTGACGTTCACCACACTAGGTGGAGAATAATTTCCATTTCAATGCATACAGTCTTCTCATGGAAGGTGCTCTGGATTGGAGAATGGTCTCAACAACCTCAGTCGAGAGACCGGATTCTATGAGCCGGGCCCCCTTGGAGGCCAGGCCCACAGTTTCCTCAACTCCGGATGAGGGTGAAATATCGTGCCCCTTGCTTGGGACAGTAGGTCCCTCCTGACCGAAATCTCCAGGGGAGAGCCGTCTAGAAGGGACACTAGGTCCGAGAACCACACTCAGGTCGGCCAGTAAGGGGCTACTAATAGCAGACGGGCCCCTTCCCGGCGAACCCTCTCCAGAACACCCGGAAGCATGAATATCGGGGGGGAATGCATACAGGTGCAGCCTCGGCCACACCTGCACTATCGCATCCAGTCCGAGAGGAGCTGGTGTGAGAACCCCGCTACTAGATCCATATGCGAACCCCAAGATGAAAGCCGCCGCTGTGGCTCGGCAGCAGTGGGACCCGCACCTCGGGGAGCACGAACCGAACTGTCCTCCTCGAAGAACGCCCGGCGAGAGTGGAGCGTCCTCACGGACAGCTTCTCACAATGCTCACAGTCAGCCCCCTCTAGGACTGACTGGGCATGCTCCACTCCCAAACAAGCAACACAAAGCTGATGTGTGTCCCCAACCGTGATGTAACGAGGGCAGGGAACAACACAACTCTTGAAATCTTGCTTGCTCGCCATTGACATGATATATATATATATATATTGAGCTTGACAGACAATAATAAATATGACAAGGACAGATATACAGAGAGCGCTTGCTGAAGGCACAGAAGCTATCGCGGTCTGATTTCAGGGGTGCTTTACAGTTTCCTGGTGTATGACGTCACCTATGACGTCTCATCTTTCCATTGGACTGATTTTACACGTGCTTCACAACGTGCTTCACAATGACGCAGGGCGTTCCCACCACGTCTCAATGCAGCGTCTCGTTCCCTTGAAAGGGAACCACAGTTGTAGATAATGCAGCCTTTCTAAAATCCTGCCTGTAGTTTACACACTAATTTAATGGTTAACATTAATGTAATAATATTATAGCAATAATATCAAATAATAATAGATTAGGGGGAAAAGCCGGATATGTAAAGATGCTATTGACGAGGTTGAATACTCTGTTTTACTTGGAAATAGATGGATTGAAATGTGTTGCAAATGCAGTTTCAAGAAGTGGTATTGCCAAGAAGGATCATTTATATTTTACATTTAAACCATTTGGCAGATACTCATGTCCAAATTACATGAACATCAAACATCAATCATGTCAACGATCACATTTCAATCCCATTCTTTAGATCAGGCGCTTATGTTTGGGTGGAAACAGCATTATTAACCAGCGGCTGTGATTGGTTAATAGAGATTTTGTTCCAGAAATAACAAAGCTTGTTGATCTAGGAACTTGTTTTTCTGGGTTGTGCGCCATATAGATTGTTGTTTAACTTGCTGAAGTGTGACTTGATTGATTAGGAAGAATTATCTGTGACTTCACGTTTCATATGATATTGAAAACAAGAAGGTGTTTTTACTCACTCCATCAGATTTGTCTATGTAGTTGAGCAGGTTTTCTGGTTCTGGGATCTTCTCCCATCCTGCTGTGGGATGTCTCATGAATGCTTTATCATTACCCTGATAAACGAGGTCATTCTTCTAAAGTGTGGCTCATACGAAACATTCGCCAAGATCAATAGCCTCTTTTACTCGAGAGGGGGAAATGAAAAGTTTGTGTTGCATCACGTCTTCACCAGCTGACCTCCTGAATAAACACTGCATGTCTAATAACATTCACTAATGCTGTTGTTTGCTCTGTTTGGACCGGTTCAAACGTACAAATTACCAACAGCTCACAAAGTCACAGTGGGGTTTATTCAGATTAATGAGGTTATTACTGATGCTGAACACACACA